AATGATGGTCCTGCTGACTCCATGGCTCATCCCTGATATCTTTGTCCATAAATAAACACTTTAGTCAGTAATCACTTCATTTCCAGTGATCCTGACCAGATATCAGTGTTTATTCTGTGTCATGGCATCTATTTAGTCTTAACAAAAGTGGTACAACAGCCACATCTGAATCTGGACAATTCTATAAACAACATTGCACAAGTTTCTGATTAAGAGCTAAATGTCTAAACCTTTGTGTCCCAGTAGTTCTTCATTAGCCTGCAGTCAAGAATTGGAGTAATTATTTGGTGAAAAAATAAATTTCCCCCAAGCCCTTGTCAGTGCATCTATTTTGAATTGAAGTGGCATCTGCTCATCCTCACTTTCATCAGCTCCTGAACCAATATTAATTGGTGGAATTCTCCTGGCAGAGCTGAGGCTGTCCCTGCATTCTTTCAGCTCTGTGTTTGTAGACTTGGGTCAAAGAAGGAATCAGGAAAAGGTAAGCAAAGCATTCTTCTGGAATTTTGAGGATTTGAGGAAAGGACTGCGGGATTTTGGCAACGGGTGAAGGAATCCAAATGCAAAACCTGTGAGAGAAACCAGATTCACAAAGGTGCTGGAAAACAGTGGGAGGCACTGGCTGTCAAGATGGGAGGGTGATTAAGCCCAGGAAGCTGGCAGGGAGGCTGAGGGGGGAATTCAGTTGGGTTTGGGGCTGTTTTTCACAGCTCCACACTGAGCTGGTTCTTACAGCTTGGTCCTGGCAAGTGGGCATGGCACTAACCAGCAAGGCAGGGTACTCTAAATTCGATTTTGACCTTGGGGGCTGTTACCAGCCTGGCTTTGGTAGCCAGGGGAAACGCTTCAGATTAAAGCCACTTCCCCCAGCAGATGCTCAAGTCACTCCTACATCCCTTGGCTGCAGCTTCTGATGTACAGGAGAAGGGAGCAGCCTTGAGGAAATAACTCAGGAGCAGGACACTTGTAACTGCCCAAATGGGATCTCAGAGCCCATAGAAGAGAGAATATGATTTTCCTTCATTCACTATGGATTATATATTCAATAGAATAGAGAAACTATTTTCCTTCATTCACTCACATGCAAAAACTGCACTGATCTGGTTCTAGACTGATTTGCACTCCTCTGAGAGAACTGAGTCTTGTGAAAACCCAAGAATAATAAATTAATAATAAAGTAGTATATAATGAATTTCATCATTTTTAGTAGCCTCTCAGACACTGGTTCCTTCAGTTGCATTAGGAGAAAGGAACGATTATCAAATGTTTTGTTGTTTTTCTTTACTCTCAGTACATAGGAACATCGACTCCTGTAATGCAATCTGGCAGCATTTTCTCAGGAATAAAACAGCTGCAAGAATCCCCTCTTCCATGTGCCCATACACTCCCATAGCATCACCTAGCCATCAGAGCAGGGTGGAAACTTTGATGGAAGGAGTTAATTTGGGCAGAGGAAGAGCTGAAATAGCCAGTGAGACTGCACATCCCCCGGTGTGTGAGTTCACTGCAGGGGCTGGGTAAACTCCCCCGTTCTGGCTGCTCAGCATAGGCTTCAGTGTCTGCTTAGTTCTAAGCACTATTTATTTATTTATTCTGTGAGCTGAATGTCTTCAAAAGGGACACAAAACTGTCCCAAGGGTCTCTTGCCTATCTTGTGTTTCCACACAAGAAACTAGAGCTGTCTCCAGTCCATGTGGTATTTAAATGCTTTTCACAACTTAACACAACCCAAATTCATCATGCATTAAATGGCTTTCTCAGGACAGCAACCATATATTTTTGTACTCACCAATGTATTATATACTGTAAGTAAAACCATGTCCACATTTTGAAACAACAAAACAAGATTTAGAAATGTATGCCCATCTCTGATATATAATCTGAAGAGCAGAGTTCCTTCTGCACCTTGAAAATTTCACCTTTGATCAAACAACGATTACAATCTTCCCTCAGATAAAATATATATATGTGTGTGTATATATTTATGTGTACAATTTCAAAATCAAAGCCTGGCACTTCTTCTGGATGTCATCTGCTGGCACTGGGAGCTGATCCCAGCATCCCAGAATGCAGCCTGGCAGGAATTCATCTCCTGCTTATGAAGGGCTCTCTAATTGCCCTGGGATTTTTCCCTTTTGAACTGGCTCACTAACCTGTAATTTCTCCTGCTATCTGCCCAAAGGTAAATGAAGTATCTGGTACACCCAAGGAATTCCTCATCTGCTACAGGTGACTCCAGATTGGGAGTTGCCATCACCAAGGAGGAATGAATTTCCACGTAGCCACGTTTCAATAATATCCCCGGGCAGGAGAGATCGCTCCTGCTTCCATTTTTGCACTGTTTATGAGCTCTGAGGAGAGGAACAGCAAAGCCTCCGTGAAGCCTCCTCCTCTGAGCTCCAGCACAAGACTGAAACTGGGAGAGATTCTGATCATTGAGCAAGTATTGACTTGATTTAATAAGGCAAGAAGAGCCTCAGAGAGCGATTGCAGTTGCTGCTGCTGCTGCTGAGCAATTCAGCACCCTCAGCCTGACACTATTTTGTTCTCCCTTTCATAAAATCAGGGCTGTTCTCGCTTTGGGCACTTTGCTCTTCAGCAAAGGCATTCCCATGAATCCTCCACTGCCTCAGTTTGAAAAGATTTGCTGTTCATAAGGAGATGCTCAAGGCCAATGCCATGGAAAAGTGGGGAGGAGGCTGCAGGATTAAACACAGGATCAGTATGGAGTGACAGTGAGTCTATGGCAACCAAGAAAAGAGATTGGACTGAAATATGAAAATACCAACTCCTCTCCTCTTCCTCACTTTGAGAAACTCTTCTCCCTGCTGCCATCCTGGTTTCAAGCCCCTTCTTTCATTGTGGCCTCTGCCTTGTTCCATGTGTGACATCAGGGAAATAATCAATCCCAAGCACCTGGAGTTTGGCTTTTGGAATGCACAGGAAGGACAGGATTTGTAACAAAGTCTGGGATAATCTTTATCCAGACAGCAGCACTGCTTTCTCTGCCTTAACAGTCAAGCTTCCATATCTAAAACTCTTCCCTTCTAGTCCTCAAAACTACAAAGTTCATTTCAAATCCACTACAGATTTCCTAACAAAAAAAGATGAAATATTTTTCTGTGTGGAAGTTCTAGGAGAATACTCAAGCTTTGGCCAGGTTGGTTTAGGTATTGGTGAATTGGAGGACAAATAGATTATAAATTCAAGTGAAACCAGTGAAATTATTCCCATGTGCTAAGAAGTGAAAGTGAGAAAAAATAAGCCAGCCTGTGGGGTGTCTGTGTGTGTGTGGTGCTTCCATCAGCACTGGAGACAGTGGGTGGAGAGGCTGGGGGGGATGTGTGGAGACATTTTAGAAAAGCAAAAACAACCTACAGGTGCAGCTAAAAATACTATGCTTCAAATTCACTCAATGAGTTAAAAATGCCAGTGAAGTCCCAGAGTGTGAACCTGCCAACATTCATTAAAAATGTTTATTCTCTTTTTCCTTTAATACAGTTCCTTCAGTAATTATTTTAGTAATTACATACTGTAAGAGTTGGGGAGCTGGGGCTTGGCTCCTATTGAGTGGTTCAGCTTTTAGATTTTTTTTTTCCTTCTCCACCTCTGTGTACACAGATTTATTTGTATGCAAACAATATTTGTGCAGGTGCCTACCTGGCGTTTGGGGCACGCAAAGCCAGGGCTTGCCAAAACTTTGCATTTTTTGTTTTCCTTTTATTAAGCAAACAATCATTTCACATACCAGAGTGTTTGGGCACCACAGAGACATATTCTGTATAAAAGTCCACATTCTTTATGGAACTATTCTACTTTCCTCTTGCTAAGGGGGCACAATAGAATAGAATAAAACCTTGTGACAGAATTCTGGACTCTTTCTCTGCAGCCTCCAAAGCAAAAAGGTTTCTCTCCTGTCCCCCTGATACACTTCCTGCTACCAGGGTAACAAAATATTTGAGGCAAGGAGAAAGAGTGATGATTCCTGGCTGGAAATACTCAGAGGAGGGGACAAGCTTAGGACCCTCAGACACGAGGTTCTTTAAGCAGGGATTCCTGGACACCTTGTGGGATCAAACTGGGATCAAAGTCTTAAACCTGAGTGTCAAACTGAATCTGCTGGGATTCAATTGATTGCAAAAGTTGATAGCATCCTGAGTATCCAAATGAACAAGGATTTAATTAAACTTCCAGGGCGCTCTGATTAACGATGAAATAAGACCAAACACATCTTTTATGGGAGAACTACTGAAGGATCAGTGAGTGCAGGGGCAGAGGGAATCCTGGAGAGAATGCTGTTCCATCCTTGGGCTTTGCTGGCAGCTCTGCTCCTCTTTGGGGCTTTCTCTGGCACCACCACCCCACTGGGCTTCCCCAGGAGTGATGTGGTGTCTCTGAGCTCAGGAAGAAAAGCACAGCAATATTCTCCTGTTCCCCCAGACAGAGGAAGGAGCACGGAGCATCCAGCACACAGCACAATCCAAACCAGAGGAATGTGTGAATGGGGAAAAATGTCACATTTGGGCTTCAGAAATGAAGGAGGCAGTGACCACATCAACTCCAAGAGAGCCCAGACTCAGCAGGAGCTGAGGGAGGGCTGGCTTCACCACGGTGTGCAGGGTAGGGAGCCTACGTTAACTAACTCCATTAATTAACTACAGTAATCCAACTTACAATGCCCAAAATTCTCATCCCAACCTTTTTGCTTCAGATTTTGAGGAAGTATGGGATACCTGTCAGTGAAGGGAAATGCAGTGTGGCCTTGGAGGGAAAAATACAGCAATATCACATTTGCTGAAAAAACATAATGCAGTTCCATTTTTTCTATTCTTTCTCCCCCAGCCTGACTAATGGTAGTTTGTTAAGGATTTGGATTGGGAATCTAACTTGACATTGGATTTCACTTGTAAACTCCTCTTTCAAAACAGAGGACAAAATGTGCTCTGTTGTCCAACACAAGCAGGTATCTCTGCCAAGAAAAAGGACACTGGGCAAAGGAGTTCTGATGGCTGTTGTTTGGCACAGGTCTGTGTTTGTAAAAAAACTCCATTTCCAGTCATTTGGGTGGGGAGTTTTTATGGAACAAGCTTGATTAGGTTGCTTTCCTAAGGAGAGGAAGCTTATGTAATGGCTCAGTCTATCTCTTGCTCCAAATTTCATACATATTTGACACATGAGTCAAGAAGAATAAATTTTCTAAAGTTTCTTGGAAGTCAGCAACTGAAGACAGAAAAAGGAACCATGTTCATTCCTCAGCTGAAGGAAAGAAAGAAGTCAGGCACCAAATATTCCTGTTTATACAGCAGGCTGGCCGGTGCCCATGCACCTGAGGCCGAATTAGCCCCAACACATGAGGGGTTTGTCCTCTGAAATGAGAACCACAGTTAAGATATCCTTATTTATCACAGCTGAGGTGCTTTGGGATGAGACCACATAAATCTGTGGGGAAACCTGTTGTTTGTGGAGCAATGGGTTTGTTTTTTTCGCCTTGAAATGTGCTCGGACATTCAGAACACAGTAAGCTCAGTCTCCTTGTTCTTAAAAAACACATGGAATGCTCAACAAACTGTGCCAAAGATGAGGCACAAAGTAACTAAAATACTGGGAAATATCCACCACATTCTGGTCCTTGGCTGTTTCACTCTGGAATGAATGGGAAAGGGTGGGGAATCACCTCTGATCCACCTCTCTCAGCTCACTTGGGCTTCCCCAGGTTGCCAGAGAATGAGAACGGGAGTGGAGCTGCTCGAGTGCAATCTGTTGACTCTGATTTTGCTGAGGAATAATAGCAATGCAGTGATATAACTGCAGGAAGCTGTCCAAAATCATAAAATACCTCACTTCTTTTTTTTTTTTTTTCTCCTCAAAACTGTGTCATTCCCTTTACCATTTGTTGTTCACAGTCTGAAATCCTCAAGATGACTTTGCTGCAGACTTGAGTTTTACTGCAGATATGGAAAACTGCCTGGAAGTTTTGCTCCTTGGTTGTTCTGGCTGCTTTCCAGCCCCAGTAACACTCAAGATGCAACACATCCAACTTGCTCCAGCAATCATTCTGTAAAATACAGAAAAAAATAAAGGATCCCATACAAAATTAGCTGCTATCTTAATTAATGACTTCAGGAAGCAGTAAAAGTGAGTCTGACGCAGGCCTTTGAAGGGCTAATTCTAATTTTGCTGGAGAGGTGAGGTGAGCCTAAAATACATCAGTACAGGGCTGATCTTAAGGTCAGTAAACATTGAAGACTTTCAGTTAATAGTGGGGTTTTTCTATCCAATAACCAGAGGATATTGGTAGCTCTGACTGCCCTTGAAGCTGCTCCCAGCACCTGCTGCTACAAAATGAATGTGGAGACACCTGACTTGTATCAGGCAGGTCTTTTAACAAAAACTGAGCTGGTTTCTGTGAAGCAGAGCTTGGAGCAAGAGGAAAAGTCCTGAATAAGGAGTGGAGTTGCACAAAGCACATAAAAACAGCCAGGTTCGGGAGCTGCCTGAGAACGTGACCCACATTAAACACCATGCCCAAGGGATGCACGGGGTGGGATTTGGGGTGTCTCTGCAGGGCCAAGGGTTGGGCTGGATGCTCCTGGGGGTCCCTCCTGCCTCAGATATCCTGTGATCCCATTAAAAACACCTGTGCAGTTTCAAACACCCATCTAACGTCAGCAGGAGATCACCTCCAGCTTCCTTCAGAAGAAGCTGCTGTTCTTAAGGTGGAGAACCAAAGCAAATCTCAAAATTGCACAAGAGAGCGAGGTGCTGGGCCCCATTGCTCCATGCCCTGCAAGAGCCTCTGTGGAGGCAGGTGAGCTGCCAAGGCTTTCCCTCAGAGGAATGTGCCCTGAGGGAGCTGTGATAAGCTTATCTCAACCCTCTCCTGGAGACATACCCCTTAGATGAGACCATCCATTCTCATCATGGTGAGCTGTCCCACCACGCTTGGTGACTGTGCTGATCCTTTGTAACCCATTGGTTTTCCCCCTGGCACCACCCTGGTTTCACCCATAAAAAACCCATAAAAAACCCAGCTCCTGCCCAGTTCAGGAGGGAGCTGCTGGACAATAAAGGCTGTCTCTGTGCAATCGCCACACGACGCTCCTGTCTCTCTGTCTCTGGGTCAGCCTGGGATAACCTCGCAAGCAGAATCACAGAGCTGAATTAACTGAGCTGGAATTACTGAGCTGAAATGACTTGCAGCCACAGGCTGCCCCTTGCTGAGGTTACCTGGTGGCCAGGGATCGCCAGAGCCCCCAAAGGCCTCTCCTGTGGGACTCCGGGTCAGCCAATGGGCCCGGCCTGGCCACCACAGGCCCCTGCTGCAGCCCTGGCTGAGCCAGGCCGAGGCACAACCAGATCATCTCAAAAGTCTTTCCCAACCTAATTCATTCTGTGATTCTGTGACTCCCAGCGCTCACAAAACCCTAACGAGAGGCAGGATTAAACTGTGGCACACTTGGAAAACCCAGGCCTTTATGCACGCTAATCTCAGCCACCATTTGGAAACTCCTGACCCACATGCAAGCAACTCCCGGGGCAGATGGACTCTCGGAGCCCCAGGATTGTGTGGTTATAATTCATTGTTATGCAAACACACAGCTGCTTTTAAACCTCACTTGCACACTCCTGGCAGGTTTAGTTTCAAAGGGTCCAAAAAAGAGGCAGAAATAAAGCCTCCTGCAAAGAGGCTTCGCTTAAATCTAGAAAGGGTTTCTGCAGACAGGTCAAAGGCAAGCAGTCTGGAAGCCTGAAATGGATCTGTGCTGCTGCAGGAAAGGGCACTCGCGCTTCAAAATTCAACTTTGTACCTGGTAAACATTAATCTCTGTACCTATTTAATATTTAAATAGAAAACAACGATTTCAAAGATTATTAGATTAAGATTTTTGCTCAGAAAAGGTGGAAATTTCCACCAAATCCTTCATACAAAATTCATAAACCTCCCCTTAGAAATAGCACTGGGGCTTTTCTATCTGATTGCAGACTAATTAATTTAACCTTTGGAAGCAGGTTGGGTAAGTATTTAATCCTGACCCTTTAGCCTGGATTCACAGATCCATTATTAACCTTCTAGCCAATTAAAAGTGCTGCGAAAGCTGTGAAAATTCCCCCCATCCAACCCCTCAGGACTCACCAGAACCGTGTTCCCACACCCAGCCAGCACCGTCCGACAGGTCTGGATCCAAGGAAAATCCAAAGGAGACCTGGCTGGGACTGCCCAGCCTGGTGTGCCTGGGGCTAGGAGTTCTCAGGGAGAGCTGGGACACCAGGGATGGTTCTGCTTGCCAAAAGTCTCCAGTGCCTTCTGTGTGCGAGCACAAATACCTGGGCCCACAGGCTGAACCCTGCAGGGTCACATGGGTGACAGGGCTAAAAAAAGGCAAACACAGAGGCTTAATTTAAACTGCCCCAAAATGTTGGTGTTTCCCCCCCACCGGGGCTGCTCGTGAGCCTCTTCCAGCTTTTCCTACAGCTTTCCTGGAATTTTAACATCCCGCTCTCTTCGGGGTTTGTGCTTTTTGATTCTTTTATTTTTAGCTGCAGCATTTTGCAGCGGTCTGCAGAGCCTGCTTGACGCCAGCAAATGTAACTGGATGCCGAGTCCATGCGAGCCAGAAATTGCAGCCAGGAGCAGCACAAACCCTGGCACTGGGCAAAACCTGGGAGTCTGAATCCTGAATTCATCTCCTGCCTTGGGAAAGCTGGCAGGGGGGCTTCATCAGAACGGAGAGAAGAGCTGGGAAGGGTTTGGGGTAAGCAAATAAAAATCAAAGATGCAAAGAGGTCTGGCCCGCAACAGATCTGTGCAAGCTGACTTCCAAAAGCAGGAGTTTACAAAAAAAGCCAATATACTTCACTTCAGTAACCTAGAAACAGGCCAGGCATGCACAGAGCGGGCTGCCTTTAGAAAGGGCTGCTGCCAGCAAGGGTGGATAAATGAGAATAGGGCAGCGGGTCACTGCTGACAGCCACCTCCCAGGGCACATTTCCCAGGTTATGATGGCTCCTTCCATGCACACAGAACTGCAGCCCCCAGGTCTGTTCCAGATAAATAAAGGCCACATCTCCTACTCTGCTGTCAGGTTTTTACCTTTCCCTTCCACACTGTACAACTGGGATAAATCTGGCTGAATCACCTTACCTGAACTTCCTTTTTAGTTTTCTGTTCTGGCCCTGCATCAGAGAACCAAGTGAAGGATTGCCAATTGATCTGATTGAGAAATTGTTCATCCCTACTATTCTAGGATCTGTAGCCATGGCAACGTGTCTACAACACAGTGGGATTGCTCCGAGGAAGAAAACCATGGGTGTATGGAGGCATTTTACTCCCCAAAGGTGACAGGATGAGTCCAGCAGAGCCTGGCTTGGAGAGGAGTGTTCAGCCTGTCCATCCTGAGCACAGCTCACTGCTCCTGCTGCAGCCCCCAGCGAATACAGCTCCAAAAGCTGGGAATGCTCCACTCCTGCCCTGGCACTCACCTGGCTGCTCGGCTGAGTTCTGCCAGGGCTCGGTGTTTGCTGCCAGGAAAGAGGGGAAATCAAGGAAAACAGAAAGCACTGGGCTTGCCGTGGAACAAGGGACAGCACCGAGCTCCACGTGGGGAGGCAGGAATGCTGGCCTGCCTGGGTATATTTCCTGGCTGTCCAGAATGTGTGTGACACTGACATTGCCTGAAAATTAACTTTTTACAAGTCAGCTTCTCTGTCCTTTCATAAGTAACAAATGCAGAGAAAAACAAGTTGAAATCAGAGATCTTAACAGAGCAACTGTGACCTGTCAGTTTTCTCCACTGCATAAAGTTTACAGGTTTGGGTTTTTGAATTCCTGGCGTGTTTAAAACTGCTTGGGTGACGAAGTAACCGAGCATGTTTCCTTGGCAAAGATGGCATTATTTCATATTTGCTCACCTAACTGGCAGCAGTTCTGCCAGCTGTCCCTAGTGCCACCCCTCACAGAAGCAGGAGGTGTTCTGCCTCCACTGCTCTGCTGTGGCACCGACTGGGAAGAGACTGGAAAAACACACCTCATGCACCCTCCTGTGTCCTCTTCCTCTCCCTTTTCAGATACTCTTTGGATCTCATCTCCTCTTGGTTCTCCTTGGTCCTGCTCATTCCTGATGAACCCTTCATTTTCTTTGTCCAAATTAGCAAACTCCTAAAAGGAACCAGAAGAAAAGTGACGTTATTTACTGTCAGTGCTGCAAATCAGAGTTCAGGAGCTGCTGTGGCCACTGTGATGCTGCAGTGTCTCATCACATCAAGCACACCTGAAGTGAAAAACTTACTAGTCTTTCATGTTGATGCATATTTTCCACAAATTTTTTCTTCTCATCCAGATTTTTCCTGAAGTGATCCCAAGCCTCACTTTCTCTTCCTGCTGCTGGAAGAGCAGTGGTGATTTGCTAAGGGAATTTCTGATCTGCTCTTTAATTTTTCTGGTTTCTGACGTTCTGGATGCGCAGACTGTGCCAGGGAGTGTGAGCTGACACAGCTGGCAGGGAGCTCTGGAATGTTACAACTGTCTCAGAAATCTCTCGCCTTGCTCTGCAGGGCTTGGAGAAGGGGATCAAGGCAGGAAATCCAGTGAATGATGAGACTGGGCTGGTCCCTGGGCAAGTGGGAGCAGCTCTGGACTATCCAGCCCCAAAGAGCCCCCTGAGGTGAGCACAGCCCCATCCAGAATGGACACCTGGACACCACCCTTGGACACTTGCTGGGATCCAGGGGCAGCCACAGCTTCTCTGACACCCTGTGCCACGGCCTCAGCACCTTGACAGTCAAGAGCTTTTTTCCTAATATCCGATCTCAATCTACTCCCTTTCCATTTAAACCCATTCCCCTTTGTCCTGTCCCTCCTGGGCCTGGTAAATAATCCTGCCCCATCCTCCCTTCAGGCCCTGGAACACCCCAGTGAGGTCACCCCAAAAACTTCTCTTCTCCAGGCTGGACAATCCCAACTCCCTCAGCCTTTGCTCACAGCAGAGCTGCTCCAGCTCTCTGATCAACTTAGTGGCCTCCTCTGGACTGGCCCCAAAGCAGATCTGAGAAGCAGAATAGAAAATACGGGACACCAAGCTGTCTTGCTTGGGAAGAATATTCCATCAGAACATTCCATGAGAATTTCCATGGACAGCCACAATACAATCCCTTTAAATGCTGAGAGCCAAGGAGTGATGGAGGGGAGAGGGATATATAACAACCTGTTTAATAATTTTCCTTGCTAAAAGGGATGTTGAGTGTGTCCTGTGTTCATACAGAGCTCTGCACGTGCAGGGCAGTGCTTTTTGGGTGACGGATGGTGCAGAAGTGTTTGTGCTGGGCAGGGAAAGCAGGCAGATGTTCCAGGATGTGCACAGGGCAGCCTCAGACACCCATGGAGAGAAAAGGGGGTGCTGGTGATGGAACACAGAGTTACCACTTCTGTCATCATTCATTCATCCACTTTTTGCATTACTCTCAGCAAGAAATATGGATGAAGGAGCCCCTGAGTGCAGGACACACAAGAAGCCTTAAGCTCCTGCCATGTAAATATTTGTACAGCAGACAGTGAGTCCTGTGCATCAGGGTAAACAGAAATTCTGCTCTGTTCTCCAACACAAGGGTATTTTATTCAAACCCTCATCTGTGTAGCTGCCACCAAAAACCAGCTTATTTACAGCCAGTCTCTACAAAGAGATTGTTTCCTACCTGCCCTGACATGTCCTTGCAGGCACCTTGCTCTTTGCTCTGTTGATTTATTGTTTCTTTTTTTGGACATAGTAAAAACCGTTAATCTGGGAATCTGCACTGGGCAGAAGGCAGGGGTTAAACCAAACTGCACTGAGGTAATTGTGGAAGGCGTGGACAATGCAAGTTCAAATCCAAAGTTTTTTATTCAGTCCTGTTATTCTGGAGAGAGCAATTTTAATTATGTTTTTCAGCAGGGATGAGAGTATCCACACAGTCTGATTTGCAGTATCTGCATTTGGGGTCTCTCAGGAAAGAAGTGGACTCATCTTTTATTTAAGTTACTTTATGGAAGATCTTGTCTCTCATTTTCTGTTGAGCACAGAGTGTGCCAGGATAAGCAGAGCCAAACCATTTTACATTAATTCCTTCAATATGAGGATTTCACTTCAGACTGGGGAGGCTGTGTGTGATCTCCTCTCTTGTTTCACTGGGAGAGAAAAGTTGCTTCTCTGTCAAATGTTGTCCAGATCAGTTCTCTGAGCTGCTTTGCTCAATCCATAGTTTTCAATGACATTTTTTACATGCAGTTCCAGATCTCAGCTGACAGAGTGTGCCTGTCACTTGTGCCATTGGCCAAAATGCTTAAATATCTACTTTCCAAAGTGCTTCCTAAAACAGGGAAAGAAGTGCACCCCTCATTTTTTATGAATTGTGGTCTGGACATATCCATAAACTGAACATTCATTAATAATATGCACTTTGTACTATCTTTGACCCATTTTTTGTGTGTGCAGGGAAATTACCTGAATTAGTTAATTGATGATAAAGCATTCTTTATATAAAGAATATTTTCAAGGAGCTCAGGTTCCTACCAATACTACTCTGTTACTGACTTGGACTTGCTTTTTGAGTGTTGTTCCAAAGTCTTTACTTGGTTTCTTTCTGTTTTGGGGTCTGATTTCTGCAGCTCAGAGGAAGACCAGTGCTTTCAGAAGTGCAGGTACCAGCCTGGATGTCTGCAGCAAACCAGAATATTGCCTGCAGTTAAGGATGTCTCTACTAAAATAAGCAAATAAATTCATTTTGCATGATTTATTATAGTGCTTAAAGAATATTTCATATCAGAATCAAAGTAAGCCACCCCACCTGGTCTCTTTTTACACCTCTTACCTTCTGATCGACTTAACTGCAAACCCTATTGATTAAAATATGCCCTATGCCCTCATTCTTGTAGCTTAATACTCAACAAAATTAAATGTAAAATAACCAAATCCTGGATTTCTTACAGCAATTGCTGTACCTGGTCACTTGGATATTGGAGGATGATGCAATAGTTAACATTTTGTTTGCCTTTCTCACGCAGGCTCCCACGCCCTTGAAGCCTCTGTGTAACATAAATTGTTTTATAGAGGAGACACTGGCAAGCAGGAGCCAAATGTGAGCAGGGGAGTGAACTCCCCTATGACCATTACATCACTGAGGAGTATCACCAGCCTCTCTCTTTTTCAGAAGAGAGCAATCACACCATACTGCTAAACAGAAAACTGGAAATTTTTTTGTACGTCTGGGACAGGGCTGAGCCTGAAAACGATGCAGAAGTAATATCATTTTGGAGAAAAAAGAACTCTTTCCATTTTTTTCCTTACCTCATAAAACTGATGACCTGAATAATTCTGATGATTCTGATAGTTTGGGGTGAGCTGGGGTGTCAGGAGTTCAGGAGTGCAGCAAGAAATATTGAGCTGTTGGATTTATAAACTGCCCTGTGGGGAGTTTAGCAGCTCAGGAGAGGCAAAACCAAGAGAGGATCCCAGAGTCCTCCCAGTCAATAATTACACCAGGTTTAAAATGAGGATTTGTAGGCAAGAAGTCTGGGCTTTGGTCTCTCTACCAGCACATGCCCATGGATGAATTCTCTGCGATGCCCTTATTCATCAAATAACAGAGAATTGGATGTTACACTGACCAGCGTGGCAAGCAGGGCATCCCGAGTGCACGGGGCAGCAGGAAAGATACAGATAACTGGGATTTTGAGACATTTGTGCTGCTGGAAGAAGGACTTCAGGCTCGCCCAGCTGTCCCTTCGTGCCTCAGACACAGGAAAGGCGGCTCTGCAGCGTGTTTGGCCTCCTGGCACAGGTCAGGAGCCAGCACAGAACAAAGGCACTCCTTGGTGCTGATAAGGACCCGGTGCTCTGTGGTCGAAACTGGATCCTTGGAGCTGGTTTTATGTGGCAGGGTAGGAGGAGTGCCCGGGCTCCATCTCCTGTTATCGGCTGGCAGCGAGTGCTCGATTTCGCTGGAGCCCGGCTCCTGATGGGACTCAATCCTCCAAAAGCTGAGGAGCTTTGCTTTGTTCAGGGCTCTGAAACGCTAATCAGAATTAAAATAGCAGTCAGGTTTCAGATCTAAGAATTTACCCACTTAGTCACAATAAGAACTTTATTTTTTGGAGTCAGATATTCTAACTGTGCAATCACCTCTGAGCCACCCCTGACACCTCAGCACGGTGCTCCTTGCACAGATTCAGAGCCAGAGAATTCCACACAAAGCCACAGAGTCTTGAGTTTTTAGTGTGACTGTAGGGGGGTCATGTCTCTGGCTCAGTGCTTTCCTCAAAGGCAAAGGTGGGAAGTGAAGCCAGTTGTGGGTCAGGAAGGTTGTACAGCACTGTAAGAGCAGTACAAGGGGTGAGAATAGGAACTTCTTTTAGTTTTTGAGTTCAAATGTGCAACAGACGGAACATTTTTCACTCATTCCTTGCTGTTTGTGATACAGAAAAGAGAAGATCCGGAAAAGAATGAAAGAAATACGAATTAAAATGAGATTTCCCCAAGCTCGAAGAACAGAGTAGAAAACCAATTTATGGTATAAAAAGCCTCTGGTCGTTCTGGGTCCACACCATTCCAAATGACACTTGTCCCTAAGGCTTTTTATATAAAGAGGGCTTGCAGACATGGCAAGGTGCTGATCTGCTTTGCATATTTTCCTGCTCTCCAGCCAGGCTGTCT